ACAGAATGAGGGATAAACCTTGAAAATCAATATTCATTTGAAAATGAGATTTTTACTGAAGCCAATAATGTCTGATCAGCCACAAAGAATTGCCAAATAAAAACCCTTTTTCTCTGTAATTTTATTTTGTTTTTAATATATGGGAGACTGCTTTGGGTATTTTCAACTCTAGTCATGTCTAAAAGTTACACTCTGAATCAGCAATAAAGTACGCGTGAAACGGTCAAGTGTCAAGTAGGATTGCACTGAAGCATGCAATAACGTGCGCAGTACCACTTCATCAGAAACAAACATCAAACATCATTATAGAATATTCTAAAGAAAAATATTAAGACATACAAGCTATCATCATATATAAGTATTGCATGAAAGTTATAGAAACTGGAAGAAAAAAATGTTACAAATCTCATCAAAGCCCCGTTTAGAGCAGTTCAATCATTTGATTTATTGGTTTTCGACCATGGTTGAATTGAAGTTCCTCAGTTCACTTTTACATGACTAGCTTTGCTCCATCAGTAGGAAGAAGGAAAATCTTGCAAAGAAAGCATAAATGGCTACTGTAGAACACCATCATCAAGTAGGCCTCTACAATGGAATATCTCTTTTGACATCATTTGAATGCATTTACGGTGATCTTTTCTAATCTCTTAAAAGGTAAGAAAATCCTTAAAGAACCCAACAAGTAACATCTATCTAAACTGAACTTTTGCATGTATAGTTCAGAAGCATTAGTACACACTTCAAAGACATTACCGAACCAAGTGTTCTGTTCTGCTCTGTTTTCTTTTATTCCACCCTTTTAAAGGAACTAAAATGTACTCTTTAGTACTGTGTTTATTTTCTTCTATTTTAAAAACGGATTTTCTAAAGGTATTATTGAATTCTATAGTTTTGGATAAAAATTTACTTCGTGTAAATTTTTATCAGGTGGAATGTTCCACCGGTAAAACAATTATTTTAAAAATATATCTAACGTAGAACAGAGCCCATATAATTATATTTTGTCTCATTCTAACATGTCTAAAAAACACTACCTTCAAGTGATGTCTTAGATCTTAAAATGTTTCATTTCAATATATCGAATTATAGAACTTGCAAAATTAGAGGCGCAAGATAGATCCTTTGGTATCTTATTATTAAGGATATTAAACAACATGTAATAATTATTCACATTGCCAAAACCAGAAGCAAAATTACTTTGGTATTTGAATTGTGTAGATGAAATATCTAGCGAATGTAGTAATCGTTGTAAAACCCGCTCCAATAAAATTGCACATACCCTTTGTCTGACATATTGTAGGATAGGAAAATAGATTAGCTGCATCATGTTATTCAATTATAAATGCTAAAATTATAAAGCAATTGCAATGAAGTGTCCTTAGGGCACTAGTTAAAATATCAAAAGTGGAAAGTATTTGTCATAGAATATGATTAATAATCCTCTCCTGTAATTTTCAACTCACTCAAACGTGTTTTTCAAGAAAATCTACGTTTGATTTCTTCACCAGGGCCTTGGTTAACAAGACCCAAATTATAAAAATCCACCATTGAATTTGTAAGAAAGGTCTCCAACCATTAGAGAGGCACTACAAATCATGCCTTATATGTTAAGCACATCGTAAGAGTATTATCTTGGAGAAATATCATAATAGATGTAGCATGGACTTCATTACAGTATCTAAAAAGAATTTGCAATACAGAAGAAAAAGAAATTATAGTAGCAAACGTAATGTAGCCATATCATCTGTGAAGTACACAACATGATTCCCCTTAAGATAAGGAAATGGATCAGCCAACCCAAGTACCAAACCGTATCAATATTGTACATTACATTATATCCAAGCTCCAAAATTATTCTGCAGATGGCGTGCCCTCCTTCTTGTGAAGTTGAAGAAACTGTAAACAGTGAAGTAGACAAGCATTGATTCTAGAAATTCAGCACCAAATAAATGGATTCAATGATTCAGCACCAATTGAGATAAACTAAAAATTGTTTATTTTGATGAGTTACGGATATCTTGAAATAAGCTAAAAAAAACTAAAGGAATCATAAGCTATTCTCATAGATTGTCCATAAGCTCCCAAGTCACTCGCAGACAAACATGGAAAATGCTACATGAGATGACAAATATGCCTACACTCTACATTGCTCTAAGCTCCAAGCAATATATAGCCTTCATTACCCTTAGAAACATCGTAATAAAGGTGAAGGTGACAATTAAATATCATAAAAATAGTTCATAAGCTCTGTGTTATCAGCACAAAAGATACCTTTTTGTCCCTCCCAACTTGCAAGGTGTGTCAAAGGCAACCAGGAAGAGAAAAACGAAGGTAAAATATTACTTTTAATATTCAATTATTAAATTAATAAATATTATTTAATAAATTTTAATTCTTTTACCTTAGTCTTTTAGAATGAGAAATCCGATTACTGGGCCGTTTGTTTTCGGTCAAGAATCCAATTGTTGGGTCTGAATGTCGGGGTTAATTACCTTCATTTGGGCCTAAGGTTATTAATAACTACTAAGTTTAAATTCCAATATTGTGTTGACCACAAAAAATAAGGTTCTTTTTAAAGCTTTATTCATGTTGTAAAATTAAAACTGGTCCATGATATTGATAGACCACCAATAAAAGAGACGAACTGAGTTAGCCTGTAAAATTAACAAGCCCAAAAAATTGATGGCCCATGTTTGGCCTGCTTTGTCCTGCAGTTAGTGGGCTGGGCTGTTTAACAAAAAACTATATAAAAATACTTAAAAAATAATAAAAAATATTAATAACATTAAAAAAAGTTTTTAAGAAATTGATTATTGGGCTAATTCGTATGTTAAATAGTCTGGATTAAAAAAAAATCTGTTTTAATATTTTTGTTTTGGTACATAAAATAATAGAAAAGAGATGACACCTCTGATCGTAGTGTATAGAGACAAAATTTTAGATGATTTAAGGGGCATTCAAAAACATTTCATATTTGATTTATTAGAGAAAAAAATATTTAATCAGTGTAATATGTGTTCAATAGCGTGAATTAGGATAACGGTACAATAAGAATAATAATAAAAATATATTGTGACATTCTTTTGGAAGAAACATATTAGAAACATTAACAACGTTTTGAGATTTGGATTGTCCCACGTATTTTCCTGTTTGGGCTTATATTACTTGTTGCGTCAAAATACACTCTAAAGTACCCAAAGCGTGATCCAATTGTTTGCAACGATTCTCTAAATTTAAGGAAAGCAATCTTTTCATGCTGTCTCTTAGTCATTTCACCTGAACTCAGATTAAGCACATCATATTAACTTATCACGTTTATATAAAGAAATAACATTTAATTCCGATCACGAAGCGCATGACATATCGAAAAAGTGTGAGCCTAATTTATTTAATTAAATCCTTAATCAATTCTAATTAGCCACAAAGAGTGCATTTTGCTGATGCCGTGCTAACCAATTGTCTGAAGAATTCAAATGTTCATGATGCATTAAACACTAATATAAGAAACACACACAGAAAATAGATTTTTATACAAATGTTAACTAATGGATTAAAAAAAGATATTAGTGCATTATTATCATGATTTTGAATTTTTAATATTTGTTATTATTATTATTATTATTGATTCTCTATAAGGCCTAAGTAGATCCCTGCATGACACGGAAGTAATTAAGAATGGTACGGACAATTTGATAATTTGACACGTACACTTAGGACGGAGGGTTTAACCATAATCTCCGCTTAGTGGAATTAATCACAGTTTAATTTCATTAGCCGACATTTAGGGGTATTGTGTTGTTATTAATTATTAGTTGCATTGTGAGTAAGGTTCAGATTAGGTAAAATTTTAAATAAATACTTGAAGAAAAAATTAATATAAAAAATAAATATTTTTAATAAACTAAAAGTAAGTTATATTATTTAAGTTTAAGAGAAATTACATAATTTTTTAAAAATAAAAAATCATAAACTAATTTATCTTTTAATTTTATAATTTATTTTACTTCTTAATTTTTATCCTATAAATACTTATTAAAAAAGTTATTTAAAAGGGGGCTTAAATACAAATAAATATATTTGTGACGCATAACGTAGAGAAGCCATACACGTGTGTAAAAGCAGCATGATGGTGAGAATATTGATATGGTTTAATGGTAAAGAATTCATTCATAATGCTGATTAGCTGACTTTTTTTAACCACTTTTGGTCTTCATTCTCTACCGTTGATATTTTAAATGTAACATTTAACAGTTTTTAACAAATCTAATGGCTCACGTTTGATGGACCACCGGTGGTCCTTTTTTCTAAGGAAAAATTAAGTGTTATTAATTACTGTACTAAAGACATTAACAGGAAAAAAAAAAGTAAAAGAAAACCATTAAAAATTATGCTAAATTACACTAAAATTCACGAGAAAATGTTGGTGAAAGTGGTAATATTTATTGATAATTTTGATTTTGAAAATTCCCTCTTAGCAATAAATACATACCTAACATTTTTTTTTCCTGATTTACCATGAATCCATGATGAATCAGCCATCTTGTGGCACAAGCCTTGTACGGTGGACCCTCTCCACCCAATAATTCCACCACATAATTAAGATTTACCAGATATGTGCTTTCTTCCTATTCCAAAATACCTTCTACACATGTAATGTCAAACTTGTAAAGGTCCCAAAAGTAAGAAGTTGGTAAGTGCTTACTTTTCTGTCAGGTCAGGGAAAATTAAAAAAAATAAAAATAAAAAAGACAAAGGTTTGAGAAAAAGGCTACAGAACAACCTTCACTGATATCGTGGTCCAAATGATGTAGGGGGTGTCATGTGTATGATCAAATATGAAAATGTCCCTAAACATTTTCTTATCAAAACTTAGCTACCCCAACTTCTTTCCATGTCTCTATTAATTCCCTTTCTTTCTCTCCATCAAGTACAAGTTTTCCTTCTACCTTATTTAAATGGCCACACAACTAGAATGCTTTTCCCTAACCTGCTCACACTAACCATAGTACCTCAAATCTCTCTCCAACAACACCAACAATGGCAAGATATTTGCCCTGTTCCTTGCTTCTAGGGGTGGCTTGTTTCATTGTAATTGGTGCTTTAGGGGAGAACTTCCCTCCTAAGAGTGGCAACTACCATGAATCAATACAAAGACTTCAAACATTTAAGGCCTCTCTAACAAGACATGATTCCATTGCTTCAGCACCATCTTACATCTCACCCTCTCCTAGTCCTTCTCCTTCTCCTCTCTCATTTCAGGTAATTCAATTATGCACAACACCACCTCTAGTTTAGTCCATTTTTTTTATTTTTTCTAGGAAAATATCAAGTGTTTGATATGTTGTGTAATGCAGGGTGTGAACAATGCTCGTGTATATTATGTGACATCTTATGGTGCTGATCCAACAGGCAATTCAGATAGCACTGAAGCAATCATTGCAGCCATAGCAGATGCAACAAAGGGTCCAAGTGAAGGACATTTGATGCAAGGCATCAGAGACCTTGGAGGTGCCCAGATTAATCTTGAGGGTGGTGATTACATGATTAGCCGTCCATTGCAGTTGCCTGAGGCTGGAGTGGGCAACCTTATGGTAATGCCTTAACAAGTTGTTAACTTCATTCATGAACAACTTTTCTATCACAAATATAACTATCTACAGGTTATTAGTTAATGCACAGAATGAAAATAGTTTTGTTATTTCAACAACTAAAAATTGATGCCATGAATAAAATAATCTATCTTGCATTTATTTTTTATTTTTGTTGAATCCATTCATTTAAAAAATACACTGAAAAAGTAAATTGGGCAAATCAAAGTTGTGCCCCAAAGTTATTCATATTGATATGAAAGGTATCTTCCAAAGTTTATATATTCCTTATTCTTTGGCAATTGGCAGTGTTGTAAAACTTTATAGCGGGGCCAAATTTAGTCTTTGGGGCAGGTGGTCTATATTTTAGTCATGATAGTGAAACGGTTGGTCTAACTAGCCCAAGAAATTTAGACTATTGCTATTGAGATTATAGAAAATTATTTTCCTCCTACCTTTTGTCCTTTTCTGAACAAATTTTTTTTAAAGACCAAGTCTTATGATACAAAGTTGCAAAAAGTCAAGGAAAACTACACTTTTTAGTTGTTTATTCAGTTGGACATACAAAATAACTCATTTTTTTATTTTTTTTATTTTTTTTGTATTTTGATGCAAAAACAGATACATGGGGGAACTATAAGAGCCTCAAATGATTTTCCAGCAGATGCCTATATCATTGATTTGTCAACCTCTTCTAATGGGAACAAGGAAGGAAACAGGAAGAGTTCCTCTTCATCATCCTATAATTTTGAGTTCATAACTATGAAGGACCTCTTGTTGGACTCAAACTTCAGAGGTGGAGGCATTTCTGTCATAAACTCACTAAGGACTAACATAGACAATTGTTACATCACACATTTCACCACCAATGGAATTTTAGTCCAAAGTGGCCACGAAACCTACATTAGAAACTCCTTCCTTGGCCAGCACATAACTGCTGGTGGGGATAAAAATGAAAGGAACTTCTCAGGCACTGGAATAACCCTTCAGGGCAATGACAATGCTGTCACAGATGTGGTAATTTTCTCTGCTGCTATAGGAATAATGGTTACTGGTCAAGCCAACACTTTTTCTGGTGTACATTGTTACAATAAGGCCACTGGCTTTGGTGGTACTGGAATTTATTTGAAACTACCCGGTTTGACACAAACTAGGATTGTGAATTCTTACATGGATTACACAAGTATTGTAGCAGAAGATCCGGTTCAACTTCATATCTCTAGTAGTTTCTTCCTTGGTGATGCAAATATTGTCCTGAAGTCTAAGAATGGAGTTGTAAATGGTGTTACTGTTGTTGATAACATGTTCTCAGGTTCAAACAATGGGGTAGATATTGTTCATCTGGACCAATCAAGTACTCATTTTCATCAAATTGATCAAGTTATTGTTGACAGGAACATTGTGAGGGGAATGAAGTTAAAGGCTACAGTTGCAAAAATGTCTATGCAAGGGAATGGAACCTCCTGGACCCTTGATTTTAACAATATTTTGCTTTTTCCTAACCGTATAAAAGATGTTCAATACTCTGTAAGTTCCACAGGCAGCACCTTCCCAAATCATGCTCTGAGGAATGTGTCTCAGAATCGCGTTGTGATTGAAACAAACGAAGCAGTAACTGCTAATGTTTTTGTTACAGCGGATCAAAGTGTGGTAAGTTGAACAAGGTTTGAAGCTGGTGAAGAACATGTTTGGTCATGGGGTCTTCACTAAAGAGGGAATTGTGCATACCTTGGTTGTTGAGTCTTCCTTTCTTTCCTTGGACAAACTAAAAGTAAACATAGTACGGTCATTGTTAGAGTTAGATTGACTGAGCCGCACATTATACTGTAATTGATGGAAAAGTATTAATAGAAGCTACAGTTTTTAACAGTTTAGTTCATTAAAATGGACATGGGCTTAATCAATTTGGAGATACCAGCAGCTATTATATAATTTGTATTTCATTCTTCTAATTTTTTTCTCTTTACATTTTTTCTCGCGATATAAAATAAAAAAAATGAAAATTTTAATGTGGGAAATTTAGGCGAACAAGTTTCCATAATAAAAAGATGGCTTAACCAAGTTTTTAGTTTTTTCCATTAAGTGTAGTTTTTGTTTCCAATTTGATTTCTTTTTATATTACGAGCTTTTTCATTTGGTTCTCCAATTTAGAGGAATTAAATATGATTTTTTTTTAAAAAAAAGAAAGATTAGCGGTGAGACTACTTTTAACCAAAAAAAAAAATGTTTTTATGAAAGATTGGGGTGGGGGGGGATTAAAAATAAGATACTATATGAAAAAAATATTGTAGATTTTTGAGGGACTAAAAGCTTATTAGGCTAAAAAAAATTAATTAGTAAGTTCAGCTATTATTTTAATGAACATCATACATCTAGAGTTCAGGAAGATGTATTTAGTAACCAAAAGGGTTTTATGGAAGATAGATTTGAGGGAAAAAATTAATTAGCAGAGAGATTATTTAGTAACAAAAAATGTTTTTATAAAAGATATATTAAGGGGTGGGGGATTAAAAATAAGATACTAAGTGAAAAAAAAAGCAAATATTTGAAAAACTAAACGCTTAATCAAGCTAAAAATAAGATAATTAATTGGTAAATAAGTTCAGGTCTTATACTTGCATGAACTTAATTTATCTAGAATTCATCCACAAGAAAAATGCAATTTTCATTGCTTTTGGGGTTTAGTGTGACGAGTTAATTGGCAGAAAGAATTCAAGCATGTTCATCAGAACTTAGAAGGCACCAATCAGTCAAAGCTGATGTAGCAATTCCGCAAATGCTTTTCCTTTTCAGCCACCATTACGATGGAATGTATTTTTCAAAACACATTTCCATGTCCTCAAGTCATAATTTAATAGAGAAGGTAATCCTGCGGATTGCTCAGATCAAATTCAGCTAAGGGTCATCAATTCTAGGAGGTGTAGTCGAACACGTTAGCTGAGAGGATGTTGAAGAATTTAACGTGCAATTGTGCTATTTGAACGTCTAAAAATTGATACAATATCTAACATACTATAATTACTTTTATTTTGATTTCTACTTTTGATCTTTTTTATATGCGCATATCTCAGAAACACTCGCCGCAATAAAAGGGGACACCAAAAATGTTCCATTTTTGTAGCACAAAAAATATTTTCCATTTAAATACGTGAATTTGAAGTTCCCAAAATAAACGGTGAACAAATTCTAGGCACTAGCAGCCAAGGTTTGAAATTATACTATTGAGTTTCAGGGAATGGCTGCTTTACTTTGTTACACATTCAACATACTCAATTCTGAAAACTAATAACTAAAAGGTTTAACATATGAATTTGACCAACGTTAAAATTATAATTTGCAAAGCGAAATTTAATATTTTTTTCCCTCGATTAGGAGCCAATTGGATGAGATATTGGTTAAAAATTCCAATTGGAATGGTAGTGATAAAATATGGCTAATTTCATGGAATATAGAGAAACATATAAGATTCAAATTATTTGTTGTAAGCAAGGTGTGTGTTCTATCTGTCATCAAGAGACTTTTATACGCTGGTTGGAAAATTACAGTTAAAATATAAATTACATTTGGTTGCAAATACTCTAAAAAAACACTTGACAATTTAAGAAAAATCGTGAAGTTGGGTATTTTGAATTTTCTAAAGATTACATTTAGCAACTCGGATTAAAGTTTTTATAGTGTGTTATGTACGGTGCGGAAAAGCCACGAAACTTGATCGCTTAATGGCGTGTATATACACTAAATGATTATTAAAAGTTCCTTTCAGAAAACTTTTAATTAATTCTTTATCTTTAAATGAGTTAATTCAAACTAAATCGTTCCGTATTAAGAAAATCTCCAAAATGCTCAAGGGAAAGGCTATGATTCTACTTGTTAGCCAATGTTCAAGCATGGCGTGTGATCTCTTACAATTTTTTGTTTTTGTTTTGGCCAATCTACTTCTCTCTTCTCAATCATTACATGAAAATTAAATTTATAAATCATTTTTATAATTTAATTATATAAAAAATTTAATAGGTTCTAAAAATTAAATTCCAGAAATTATTTCTAAAATAGTATTTTAAGAATTAAAATTCCAAAAGCAAAACATGGGAATTTAAAAAGAAAGGTTCAAGGTTTATTTTTTATGATTATGAGTTGGGTATGAGTGGACACCTCACAATAGCTCAAAGGACTTAAGTTAGAAAGCCCATCTTTGAAAATAAAAGACTTATAGTCTGTCCTTCTCACACATCATAGGTTCTTTTAGTCTGCGATTTGGGCCACACTTCTGAGCCTCACACTTGGACAAAAAGATTCACACATTTGCAACAAAAAGACCCAAAAAAATAAAAATAGAAAACTAAAAAAGGCATCAATAACTCACTAGTTACAATTGACCAAAAAACAAAAAAAAACTTACTAGTTACCGAATATCAAAATATTGCACTATTGGAAGACATGGAATTCTCTGTGTGTCCCATTGTGAAACCTTGCAGATCTTGCATGTGAGATTGCACCACTCTTCCCCTTCCTCCTACAAATAGCATTTTCCATTTGGTTGTCAACTGAAAAATTCATGGAGATGTGACATCGTAACTCACTTGGGTGCAATGTTATATATGTTGATGAACGTATATATTAAGAACTATAAAAAACGCCTCCATTACAGTTCTTCCTATTTTTCTATTTAATATATTGTTATTATTATTATTATGAAGTGAGAATTTAAGGTGGAGACGTGACATTATAACCAGCATGAATGGTGTTACTTATAAAATATTTGTGTACCACATTTATCATGTCATGTAATAAGAAGTGGAAAAGAGACACCTGCTTTGAATGGAAGCAAGGGAAGAGAAAAGAAAAGGGCTTCATACCTGTCGCTCCTTCCTTGACGTCTCTTAGACTCAAACCCACCACCCTCCAACTCACAGTTTGGTACACACTCTTACATCCAAAACCATGACCTTGATGCTTCACTCTCAACCCACCATTTCTTATATAACCCTCTTCTCTTTTACTCTTCCCAACACCTCCGTCACTTTGCCTTGCCGTGGCCTCAAACACCATGGCTGGCTTGATCACTGGTTCTCATTCTCATTTCTCACATGACTCTGATGAGGTACGTACTCACCTCATTTCATGTTGCACTCTTTCATATCACATTCTTTCTTTTTCTTTTTTTCTTTTGGTTAGTTTGAACCTTCCCAACATATATATTTTGTTTTTCTAAGTTTGTGTACAAGGATTCATAACAAAAACATATATATATCATAATAAATTTTATTAAAAATCACAAGATATAATAAAATTTAGTACTTTAATAAACAATTATTACTCTTTCTGTTTCTTTTTATTTGTCACTATTTTTAATAAATTGTTCACTTTTATTTATCATTTTAGAAATTTAAGAAAATATTTATTAGTTTTTATTGGATCTTTATTCTTTAGAGAATAATAAATAGAAAAAAGTTAATTAATTATAAAGAGTAAAATTAGATAATAATTTTTATACAAACTAAAACATAAATTAATATTTTTAAATGATGTAAAATAAGATAAAAAAGAAGGAAGAAAGTGGGGCTCACTTTAAACAAATCTGTTGTATATAATATGTTATCATGTTATTGCATGTTAGTTTCTTACAGGTGTTTATTATGTTTGTTTTGTTTCTGTGCAGCAGCGTCAGTCACATACCCGACAATCTTCATCAAAAACATGTCGAGTTTGTGGTGATGAGATTGGACAAAAGGAAAATGGGGAGCTGTTTGTGGCTTGTCATGTGTGTGGATTTCCTGTTTGTCGACCATGTTATGAGTATGAGAGGAGTGAAGGGAACCAGTGCTGCCCTCAATGCAACACTCGCTATAAGCGTCACAAAGGTTGTTTATTAGCTTATCTCTGTTTGTTACTTTTTGTGTTTATGTAAATCAAAACTTGCTTTTTTTTATTAATAACATTGTGGGCTAACTTATGTGGACATGTGGTGATGGTGGATTTCTTGCAGGTTGTCCTAGAGTGGCTGGAGACGAAGAGGAGAACTTTGATGCAGATGATTTTGATGATGAGTTTCAGCTTAAGAATCATCGTGATGAACATGATGTTAATCATGTGGTAATATCTTTTACTCTTAATCAAGCTTCAAAAAATAAATGCAATGTGGAAATTGTTAATCTTTTTCAGAAAAATATGAATAAGAAAATTAGTATTGTGGTTATACTAGTTAAATGGATATGCATGTGTGATTTTTACAGGAAAATGGGGAGTTCAATCAAGAGAAATTTCATACCAATGGTCAAGCTTTCTCTTCCGCAGGAAGTGGTGAGAAACTTATTTAATTTTTGAAAATAATTATCCATGATGATGTTTTTTTTTATCCTTTATGGTATTATTCTCTTCTGTTTATATGTTGGTATACTGTTCTATAGTCGCTGGCAAGGATTTAGAAGGAGACAAAGAATTCTACAGTAATGCTGAATGGCAAGAAAGAGTAGAGAAATGGAAAGTCAGGCAAGAAAAGAGAGGTCTACTAAACAAAGAGGACGGAAAAGAGGACCAAGGTGAAGACGATGATTACCTGTAAGTGATCTCTTCTATTGCTCTTTCCCATGGATTCTAAAAGCCTTTGTCTGTGCACATCAGATTGCCTCCTTTTGTTTCTTTCTCATGAATATTAAGTGTGTTTGGTTTCACGTTTGACTGATCATGAATTCCCATTTATTTCAACGCTATCAGTTAT